ACACCCTCTATATTCAATCATTATTTCAAGAGCCTTTCAGTTGTCAGGTATTTATTGATTGATGAGTTACAAATACATAAATGTACTTCTTCCCACCAGACATGTGATCGTCTCAACCTCCTGCTCACATACTGTAGACAGAATGGCTGACATGACACATCAAATCATTAACAAAACACAATTAGTCAGTTCACTGAATCCTTGAAAAACAACAATAATATTAATATTAATCACAAGATTTTAGAAATGTAATTGAACATGCTGTGTTGGAAAAATACTGATATATAAACAGAAAAGTAATTGTGTTTCTAAGCCTGTGTGAATTGAATGAGCATCTTAATTCAGTGGCGACATACTTCAAAATAAACCTAAACGGCATCTGCTCAGATTTGTTTTATTTAAACCTGTTTAGAGTTATCACATGTGTTACCATTCATCCTGAGGCGAACATGACGGTGTAACCCAGATTTAGTTCAAATCTATCAAATAGTCGATGAGCTATTTCTTGTCCTTGAGGAAAGCAAACTGTACATTTGTCATTAACACATAGTTACTTAAGAAAAAGCAACATGCTTATCGAAGTGGGTGGATCAAAGACTCCAGGAGAAATAACAAATACAATCAACCACATGAAACCGTAGTTAACAGCTTCACTAACCCTCTTTGAAGAAAGCAAGAGGATGAAGGCAAAGCAGACACACATCTGTAAGCTTAAATAAAAAGGTTTCACACAAATTAAATGAGCAGGAGTTGGAACAACAATAGAACTGCATAGGGAGAAAAAGCTCTTAATTATTCATGTGTTTGCCTCCCGAATAAACAATGAAGTAAAGTAAGAACATCAAACTGAAGTTATTAGAGAAACATTAGCGGAGCCGTTCATGATGAAACTTAAAACATTGCCGATATTGACATGATTATAAGATTATAATGTCTGTAGAGTAAAATATGCGTATGAATGAAAACAAATTAAACGGCTGAAGCAGTCGTAGTTTCAAGCCCATCCACCTTTTCTATGTGCATTTTTTTCACATTGTCAATCCAAAAACCTTGATGAAAATGTGAATTTCAATTAAAAAAATCTAAGGTTTTTGTGCTTGGCTAAAGTAAAAAAGTTAGTTTATCCACAAAACCACAACTGAACAAAGTACAAGGAATCATTTCCCCCCTTTTCGGTTCTTTATGGCACGACTGGAGAATTTCCCCCACCACCTGGAACTGTATCCCACATTACAGTAGTGGATGGAAACGAGAAATATATAGCAATTTCGTGCAGATTTTCACAGAAATTCAGTCGTAAATTACCACGTATTTGAAGCTTTCTGCGGCTCGATATTTGTCTTTTACTACTTTGGTTCATAATCAGTAGAATCACACAAAGCTGCCTTTATCTTTTTGTTGTCAACATTTTATGTTTACGTTCAGTGTGAGCAGACAGTGCATAGCAAAGTGGTTTTAATGTAGAAAGGATCCAATAACTCCCACAACAACAAATCAATAATAACATTGTACCGTGTCTCCCTTCACTGAACAGTGTAAGACACTTCAGTGGTGCAACATCTTTCATAAATTAATCAAATGACCAAAACATTTCGACATGTGATAAACTTGGGACTAGTCCATCTTTAAATATTGTAAAATGTTGATGTTTGATTTACTATTTGTATGCCGTAAAGTTTGTTATAAAAAATCTAATATTTTTTTAGACACATATAACAATTAAGGAGCATCACACTCACCCTGTACAGTCCAGGCTCATTGTGTTTGTGTGCATGCTAATGAGCTGGTTCGCATGTAGTAATGCTAATCAAAACGCAGGAGGAAGATAATGGGATCAAAAGCAGGATTCTTGCCATGCGGACAATTCTGTTTATCAGAGATAGACTTCTTCTTGTTGCTTCACTACTCTGGAGAAGATTTTATTTACATGCTGAAAAAAAGTCAAAATACCCTCGAGGCTATTTCCTACTGCGATTAATACTGAAAACACAACATTGATGCAGGTGTGTTCAAATAGTTGTAGTTCTGGAAACATCTACGGACACAGAGTTGGGAAAATATGAACAGCAAAAAACATATTCTACTCAAAGCTGTGGCGCACATTAGTTCCTTTTCTAATGAATGTTTAAACTGGCGCTCTCTGCCTTTTAAAGTCAACAGGCTAGCTAACTAGCTTTAGCTGCAAGGTTATTTTGACAAGTTTTGCAAGATCAATTAAACAGATCTTTGATATCGAAGGTCTGAAGCTGCATGATATTAAATGAACTCTCCCTTAACTCAGACCAACAGTTACCAATAACTAAAAGGAACGTATATATATATTAATTGTCGTTAGTAGTTTATGAATATTTATATTAATAAAACTCTGCTTTATATGGCTGTGTAACAGAATCACATTGAAGACCGCCCTCCTGGGTATTAATGCTACACTATATAAGAATTATGAGAAGAAGACTACGGGGAACGGGTTGTAACCGGTTTGGTACAAAACATTAGTTTGACTTCATTTTTTAAAAACTGGATTCTTGGATAAGTGAAGTTAAATCAGGCAGGCATTATTTTCTTTAATACAAATAGATTTAGTGAGGTTTGTGTGTTTGTGTTTCACGTCGAGACATTCATCAGAGATCATCTATGTTGATCCAGAACAGTCTGTGTGTTTTAGCAAAGACTAGCAGGAGAAGACAAAGATGTCAGGCAGCTAGATAGATGTCTGATTCACATGTTGTATGTTTTTAGGAGATCATTTGAGCTTCATGTGGACGTTGATTCACTTGGGCAACAACCTCCATATGTTTACTGTATATTGTGTATACATCTAATAGATTATATTCCATTCTAAGGCCGTTTACTTCCTGTTTTGATTTGTGTTCCCTCTGACCGTGTCCACAATAACACAACGCAAGTATTTCCAGGACATTTCTGTAAATATCTTTGTTCACACTGTATCACCTTAAAGTAGAGACATGTCTACTCTTCTCGGTCCTTCACAACCAAACGAATCAGGTACATGTAAGACTTGTTATACCTGTTATATCTTATTAGTTGCTGAGAACCATTCCCTCAAGTCATTTAGGTATTTGAGTTTCAAACAAACGGCGAGCTGGCGTTATATGTTTTATCCACTCATTCCCAGCGTATTTGGGCGAGAAGAAGATACATTTTCTAATTCGACTGGCGTTAAAGTTGGCGTACTCCTACTGTGACTCACAACTCATTACAGCAATTAAAGTATGAGAAAAAACACACACTTGGATAAAACCGCTGACTTCAAGCTAAGATGTTTTGCTGTTTTAAAAAGGAAGTCCAAGCCCTGAAAATAGAGCCTTAACAAATTCCCCAAACTGAAATCCTAGCTACAGGAAACTTGTCTGAAACCAGAGCAAAGTAGAAGTGTTTTATGTGGCATTCATAAGCAAGTGCCTTATGATTGTACTAAGACTAAATTCAAATTGAGCTGAGTAACAGAACTGAATCAGCTCTTTCCTCAGTATCATCAGATGTTAGGGAAGCGGTGTCGGCAGTGAAAAACAGATACAAAACCGATCTAGATTCTACCAACAAACAAAGAAAAAACATAATTACTCCACAGCTGCTTTCAGGAAAGTCGTGCTTTAAGTGAAATAACATTCAAAAGGAAATCAGCTTTTGTGATTCGGTTTAAAATATGTAAATACAATATTTACATTGAGTTAAGGCCTGGTTGTTGTTGTTTTGTTAGTTTGAGTAATGAGATCAATTTGGATAATTTCTTAACTTCTTCAGCAGGTCAGTTTAAGACTTGGCTTAGGACCACGATGACATTAGATAAAACGACCATAGTGCTGATGTTAACGTTGCATTCCAATAAACCGCAAATTAAACATCATAATCATGTTCTGTTTCCAAAGCATACCACATGTCTTTTGGGTGATTTGACCTTTTTGATACATCGATATATATTAGGTAGGGATGCACCGAATATTCGGCCACCGAAAATTATCGTCCGAAAATGGTTAAAAAGGCCCTTTCGGCTTTCGGCCGAAAGGGCCTTTTTAACGAAAAATATCACCGAATGTCAGAACAGGCTTACGTTGGTAACCTAACGTGTTGTTGTGATGACGTAATAAAGACGCGGCGACCATGCTCGCGGCTGGCTCACAGGGGGGGGGGGGGGGGGGGGGACATTGACCTTTGTCATTGAGATTGCCCTGAGCCTTTAACAAATCGTATTAAATAATCTGATGACAGACTGTAAACAGAATAGCTGAAATGTTAACAAACTAAATAACTCAGTTTCCTCTAATCATTAACCCATGTTTGTATCATGTAGTTAACTCCGTGTGTTGCTGCTAGCATACATAACACCTGACGTGGAAACGTTACTCGTGGATGGGGCTACAGAGCTGCTAGAAAGACGGTCGAACCCGGTACATTCCTCCGTCTGCATGCGGTGCACTTTTGCTAAATGTTTAGACAAATTGCTCGTGCTTACATGCTAAACTCTTATTGCACTTATGGTAACAAGTATTCTCCACATCGAGACGGGTAAAGTTTAACCACACCTCGGAGCGCGTTCTCTCCGCCATCTCCGCAGTGTGCTCCGCTGCATGTAGCAGCTGCGTGTGTGTAAACTGCCCCGCCCCCTCGCACACAGACGGGAGAGAGAGATCTCGTCTGATCGAAAATACATCATAGACGCATTTGTTGTCTTTGCATATTAGAAACGAGTTGGCGACACTAAGACTGCGATATCATGTTTTTTAGCAATAATACATGACATATATTAATGTACTGTATGCATTCAAAAGTGCTGAATAAATGTTTTATGGACCCATAATAGTGATTATTATTTAAGTTAAGTTTTGCCATAATCATGTCTATTTCCATAATCAGGTAGCTGAACAACATTGGTAAAAAATATATATATATTTCTATTAATCATTTTCGGCCTTTCGGCATTCGGTTTTCGGCCAACTGTTTCCTATTTTCGGTATCGGCCAAGAATTTCCCATTCGGTGCACCCCTAATATATATTTATATCATGCTTCTTGTCAGTAGTTGTTGGAAGTATAGCTTGTATAAATGTTGTCAGTGGTGTTGATTGTTTTTCTGGAAGACATAAAAAACCTGCTAGTTCCGTTTGGAAAACACAAAATATTAACATTGAAATACATTTGTACATACATGGTTAAAACAGCGATATGCTCCTTTTGTAAGGGATGTATATTCAGGGATGAACAGGGATTATCAATAAAACGTCCTCTATAGGTCATGTATGTATGTATGAACAGCAGGCACATCTATTAGTTAATTGGACTGTGTGTGTGTGTGTGTGTGTGTGTGTGTGTGTGTGTGTGTGTGTGTGTGTGTGTGTGTGTGTGTCACGTGTTTGCAGCCTGATGTTACATGTAATATTTATAGTGAGTGGCACAGCGTTCCTTTTGTTTCGGCAGTGAGAATGAAATGTTCATGCGTCTGTCCTCATGTTTACATGCAGGTATCTGCTTTGCTTCATAGGTTTGTGTTTGTGTGCTTTCCTTTTGTATTTTCAAGTCAGTGGTTGTTTACTCCGGCAGTGTGGGTACAGTTCAGATGTCTGAACCCAGGCAGGGTGACACGTCCATGGGTGTAGATGTCGGGGTCTGACCCCTGGTTCATCCTCTTGACCAGATTCTTCTCGTACAGCAGAGGGTGATATGCGCCCAGTGTGCAGGCGGCGTCGTAGAAACGCTGGTAGTAATGGCACAGCTCTGTCTTTCTGCGGGACGGCAGGAACTCGTAAACATGCACCACCTCACACAGCGACATCATCAGGATTGTGCCTGGGCGGGATACAAAGGAGAGAATATGTTGTGATATTTTGTTGACACCAAAACAGTTTTGAGTATGGGTCACGATTCTTTATTCTGTACTCTACTGCGTTAGTCACCGAACTGTAACTCATAGTTCTTAACTGCGTCTATTCACCACATTTCACTGGCTTCCTTTTTGGAACTGTTATTTGTTTCTTCACCAAACTACTATACGTGTCTTTGCCCTATTACTGTTTCTTAACACAACTCTTTTGCGTTTCTCTCACCATATTCCACATATTGTATTTTATTAACCTGCTCTGCTGCTTCCCCTTTCATTCATACTTCATTTTTGCAAAAACAATAAATGTTTCCTCCCCGACGGGGAATTGAACCCCGGTCTCCCGCGTGACAGGCGGGGATACTGACCACTATACTATCGAGGAATGGATGAGCAATGGTGGTGCAGTTCACTTTTTGTCCAGAAGGGCGCAGTCAACAGTGGCGCAAAGGGATCCTTTAGCTAAAACTCTAAAAGCTTTTCCATTCATTCTCTATGGTAGTGCTAAATCACTACGGATGTAATATATATTTGGCTGCTAGTGAGAGCTGTTTGCTCCTGCAGCAGTAACGTGATTGTGTAACCAAAAAACTCCAGTAGGGAGAAAAAATGTATGGAGATTATTCATTAATATACTGTATATATACATATAATATAATGTATGTATTATGGCAGAACACAGTATAGCTGTATAATAGGTACTAATGACACAGCTCTGTCTTTCTGAGGGACGGCAGGAACTCGTAAACATGCATCACCTCACACAGCGACATCATCAGGGTTCAAAGGAGAAAATATGTTGTAATATTTAGTAGACACCAAAACAGTTTCCAGTACTGTACTCTACTGCGTTAGCCACCATACTGTACTGCGTCTCTCACAGATCGTTCCTGCATGTATAGGAGCCATTTATGTGTGTTGTTGGTATGTCAGTTTATTTTGTTTATATTGCTATATTATGTTTGACCACTTGGTGGCGGGGTTTACTGCACAGGGTGAAGGTGAATAAATAGGGTCATGGTGAGCTGAGAGGGCAGGACAGGAGGAGGAAGAGCACACCGATTCAACCAGACGCGAAGATGCTCACAACTACAAACATTCATCTACTCATTCAGCTCTGGTATTGTACAAACGCTCAATAAACAACAAACCAAACTGCATTCAAGAATGGAAATCATCTGTTATGTGTCTGCTTATGATCACTCTTAACCGGAATATTGGACATTGGAACATTAAAATTGCCATTACTGCGTTTATTAACCAAAGTCTACTGGGTTAAAAAAAATGTAAGCTTTCTTTGTGGAACTGTTATTTGTTTCTTCACCAAAATTGTATTACGACACTTGGGTTTCTTTTCAGTTCTCTATTGCATGTGCCTTACTGATCTCTATTGCGGTTTTCCTACCCTACTCTATTTTCTTTCCTTTTATTTACTTCCTAATTTCTCAAAAACAATAAATGTTTCCTCCCCGACGGGGAATTGAACCCCGGTCTCCCGCGTGACAGGCGGGGATACTGACCACTATACTATCGAGGAAGGGATAAGACGTAGTGGTGCAGTACACAATTTCTCCAGAAGGGAGCAGTTGACTGGCGCTATTTTGGCCCCCAGGGATCTTTTACCTAAAACTCCCTAAACACTTTCCCATTCATTCTCTATGGTAGTGCTAAATCACTACGGATGTAATATATCTTTGGCTGCTAGTGGCACACTTTAGCCAGTGAGAGCTGTTTGCTCCTGCAGCAAAACATAATTATTCTGCATAATGACTACATTTACTTTTGGTTTTTTTCAATAACAAATGTATTTCTTTAAGAAAAAAAATTATATATATATATATGTTCATAATTTAGTTTTTAGGAGAAGGGGTGGGATTAAATAAGTGTAAACTTCTCGCCTTTTCGGATGTGTAATCAAGTAGATTATTTGTTTATACATAATTTAGAATCAGTAATATTTTTGTATTGTATAATAATTCTCATGTTAAATGTTTGTATTATTGTTTTACACATTTTAAATAAATCAAATCAAATAAGTATATTTTGATGTCAATACTTTTGTACTTTTACTTGGGTCACATTTGAATGCAGGACTTTTACTGTAACAGAGTATTCCTTAAGTACAAGATCTGAGTACTTACCTCTGATCTTCAGCTTATAAATATATATATATAATCAAATAATATTACTTATTATAACCAAACTAACATTATATAGCATTTGTTTCTTTATATTGGTTCCCGCAACACTCTTACAGCATTTCTTTTTGGAAGTGAGCTGCCATTTGTTTACCAGACTCTACGGCATTTCTACTAAACTCTACTGAACTTTCATTCACGTGCACAGGTTTTTCAGATATGGTTTTGCATACCAAGCAGGCCGGAGGAGGGCGGGTTTCTCTGGATGGGCTCAGCCATGTTGTCTTGAATACGTTGCCAGACCTGCCACTCGAAGCGAGGATGCAGGATGTAGAAGGGCTGCATCGGATGAAGCCTCCTGTATCTCTGGTACTGGGTGAAGATGGGGTAGTCTGTTCTGTTGTACCACTATAAGGGGGGAGATATAGAACTATTCAAGTGTATTTACTTTTAAAACAATGCACTGCAGGTTTCCATTTTGGTTTCTGTACACAACTGGTAGTTACAGATAATGTGAGAGGAAGAGAAAGTTGAGGAAAAAACACTGCATGTGGTGAATTAGGACATTCAAAGTCAAAAATAGGACTTGTTCGTAGAGTTAAGGGAAGTTCTTTCAACATGTCGTGAATGCAGCATTAGTCAAATCAAATCAAGATTTTGTATAGCCCCAAATCACAAGAAATGCCTCAAAGGGCAGTACAAAGCAAACAAAAGAAAAGACAAAAACAAAATACAAACGTCATAACATAAAAATTATAAGAACATTATACAACAACATAAGTATTGCCATGTGATAAAAGCATGTGACTGAAGTGATGGTAATGATGAGCCGAAACTAGGTGATGGAAGCTAGTTTACAAGGAAGACAGATGCGAAGAGATGGGTTTGAGTTTGCTTTTAAAGGAATCAACGGAAATAGCTTTGTGGATCTGAAACGGAAGACGATTCCAAAGGAGAGGTGCTCTGAATGAAAAGGCTCTGCCACCTACGGAGGATTTGTGAATTCTGGGGATGGAAAGGAGACTTGCATTATGTGATCGAGGGAGCCTGGTAGATATTTGTGGGGTAATTAATGAAGACAGATAAGGAGGTGCTATTCCATGTAAGATTTTAAAGGTTAATAGTAACATCTTGAAGTCAGATCTTATGTGAATCGGGAGCCAATGCAATGAAATGAGAAAAGGGGTGATATGATCACATTTTCTGGTTCTGGTTAATATTCTGGCAGCTGTGTTTTGAACCAGTTATAGTTTGGTCGTGATTGATTTTGGTAGCCTGGAGAAAAGTGAATTGCACTGTAGGTTTCAATTCTGGTTTCTGTACACAACTGGTAGTTACAGATAATGTGAGAGTAAGAGGACAAGGGAAAGTTGAGGCAAAAAACACTGCATGTGGTGAATTAGGAAATTCAAAGTCTAAAAAATTACTTCTTAGAGTTAAGGGATGTTTTTTCAACATGTCGTGAATGCAGCATTACCTGTGGTCGGCACAAGCAATTACTTGTATGAAAACACACCTGAGAGAGGTCAGCAGAGAAGGGGGCGGGATCCCAGGCCACCAGAGCACCTGAGCTGTACAGAGAGCTGGACAGGAAACGGTGGTCATCAGACGCCATCACCTTTTAACACAAACAAAAGCATTATATCCATTTCTAAAGCACACCCTTTCAGTAACTGTATGTTTTGAGCATGTCAGTGTGTTTACCTGGGAGTTGATTAGGCGGATTGTGGTTTTTGAACCGACATCCTTCTCGAAGCCGGTGGTCGGGGCGGCGTTGAAGCGCAGCACTGCATCATGGGAGTCTGTAATTGAATAAATAACCTTTTTAGAAGAAGTGGAACTTGATCAACACGTTTTCTGTTTCGACGTCTGTAAATTACTTGGAAGGTTTGTTGAACACAAGAAAGTAACAGACAGAGAATCAGCACTTTTGAAACAGGGCTGAAACAGATAAAAGGGGTCCTTTAATACAATAAACAGAATGATGAAAAAAAATATCTCGCCTATCTCTTTGCCAAGTCCTGAGTAGCGCAGCGACCCTGCAGACGACACCACAGCGCAGGTCCTGTACGGCCCGAGGTCAGAGGTCAGCTGACTCATTGGCAGCTGGGAGGCCCAGGGCAGAGATGAGAAGGGCTGGAGGTCAGAGGTCAACGTCTCCACCTCCACGTTTTCCTTCATTTGGCAGAGAAGTTTAGGACCGCTCAGCTTGGGCCGGCTGGACACACCGCCAGGACCGGAGAACTCCACTCCGTACTTATTCGTCGCCTGTCAGAAAAGACAAATCAAAGACCAATTAAGTGTATTATGTGGGGCTAATTACAAAGAGGATCCCTACCGCTAATGTTCAAGTGGAGTTTGTTACATTCTGACATTTGAAATGTCTCTAGAGAGCTCATTTACAGATTGAACATTAAGTGCTTTATGTCACAGGAGGAAGTGTCTGAAGTGAACTTGAACAGAACAATCATTAGAGAACCTAAAAGTAGAGATGCACCGACCTTGTATTTTAAAGCCAATACTAACTCAAATAGATGAATTGTGAAAAAGCAGGATATCAAACATTTTGTTCAGAAACAGGTTTATTACCAGGTAGGTTGACACGTACGAGGAATTTGACTTGGTGTCGTGGTGCATACATAAAAGTAAAACAAACATTAAAAAACACAGATAGCGAACTATTTTAAGAACACTATAATAACATAAAGAAATTAAATTAAAAAATATATAGTAAAATAAAAATGTATTATTTACATGGAAATAGAATGCAATAATATATAAAATATGTGCAGTAAGCAAACCAGATATTGTTGTTCTCAAAATGTTACAGCGTTAAGACTTCCAGTAAATAATAAAGTCTTACCTGATAATTCTGCACCACCTTTCTCAGTCTGCTCCCCAGCATGTTACTGGACATTTCGTCGTCCCACACCTCTCCCAGAAGCCCATGAGGCCCAAAAAATTCTGCGTCCCCCCCTTTGGTACTCAGCTCGCCCCTACGCCGGCCTCCAAACAGGGTTTCCAGCGCACGCGTTAAAGGGCGCGGCAGCAGGCGAGAGAAGAACCCGGAGTTGTCCCGCTCTTTTGGCTTCCTCTTTGGCGACGAGTCTACGGCTTCGTGGGTTTGGTTCGGAGAGGAGAGGACAGGGATTGGACGGTGAGGGTCACCTGGGACGACCCCTGGCATCTTCTGGGGGTCGATGTACATCGGTTTAGCTCCGCCTCGCAGAACCTGAGGGAGTCACAGGGAAAATTGTTTGAAAACCTGTCAGGGAAACATCCAGGGGCCGTAAGTGGAAATCACACTAGCTCTAAGACTAGAAGTCAAATAATGTGAGGTATACAACACAAAACATTAAGAAACCACTCTTTGGGTTACACAATTCAGCTCCAACATAATAATAATAATAATACATTTGATTTATATTGCGCTTTTCCTTGTGCTCAAAGCGCTTTACAAGCAAGTAAAGAAGAAAAATAACAACAAAAGTAAAAAGTGCTAAGCTAGGTGGAATAAGGGCGAGGGGTTAGTGGATTAGGAGTTGAAGGCAAGAGTGAAACGGTGAGTTTTGAGGGATTGTTTGAATGCAGCCGTCGATGGTAAGTAACATCCTGGGTTGAGCGGGTAAGTAAGGAGCCCCCTAGGGAACATGGAGAAGAAAAAAAAAATTATTTGAAAAAAAAAAAAAAAAGTGTTGCGATATATCGCAAAACCCCGTTGCAGTTTGTAGACGGTCCCTAAGCACTCCTCTCCCTCCTCAAGCTGCAGATTGTGACCAATTATTGATGTTTAGCTCGGATGACGGCGCGTATCGAACTGTTCTGATAAAAAAACGACTCTGTAGCCCGTTGTCTACCTTGTAAAGTCAAATACAAGTGGATTATTATTATTGATCCGCGAAATTCGAATCTGTCAATAACTCAGCTCAGAGGGACGTGCATGTCCCCTCGCTCTGAGTGTTCTCTTAAGGTGTCTTTCACTTATGTGAAGCCTGTGCCTATTGCCAAGCACTGATGTAATATCTTTATATTTAAAGGTCCCATGTCATGGCCATTTCCACTGATCATAATTCCATTGTTGAGGTCTACTAGAATAGATTTATATTGTGCAATTTTCCAAACTCACATTGGTTTCTCAAACAGCATCTCTGTAAACTACGTGTATTCACTGAATTTCACTCTCTGCCTTTAACGGCTCGTTGTAGCTCCAATAGCTCCAGCCCCCACCCTCCCTGTGAGCACAGTGTGCTCTGATTGGTCGGGACGTTGTGAATCGCGCTGAGCTCCGTGGAGGTGTTGTTTCCTTGTTTAGCGATAGACAGCGAAACACAGCCAAACTCACGCTGAGCACACACAAAGTCACAGCCGAAGTAAAAATAATAAGTGTGGCTTGATATTGAGTAAGAAAAAGGTTGATAAACGCTGTGAGAATGGGTCTGCAGAGAGAATTTCGCCGCGATCCCAACTGTCTGTTATCAGCCTGCAGCCAGGAAGGAGAAATCAGCAGAGCTGCCTGCACTGAGTGTATGTGTGTGAGGAAGTCCGTGGATTGGTCAATTTAGACCAATCAGCGGGGGCTTAACGTAACGGCTCCGCGGACGTAACGTAACGGCTCCACGGATTGGTCCATTTCGTTCCGGGTACGGTTGACATCATGCGTACTCGGAAGAATCAAATGGACAATGACGTATCTCCAACGAGGCGTTTTGGGGAGGTGTTTTCTATTGGAGTGACTTTGATGGTTATTGGACTCAGGATTAATTTATTTGGATTCCCGCTGTATGAAGAAATTAAAGGACGGCGCAAGTGGAACAATTCACAAAGGGATTGAACTGTTTAAAACACATGCTCAAAGTAAGCCGGATTTTGCCGATGTGTTTATGTGGATTCAAAAGTCGTAAATAATCTACAAAATGGAGGAGACCGATCTGATTGGAGCAACTGTGACAAATGATCCAGCTGAAACCGGCATGGACAATGACTATGTTTTAAAAATGCGCTTATCCAGACAAGCCTGGTTTGGACACTTTATGGGCAGAAGAAACATTTATATTAAAGAAAGAATTATACATTTCTGTCTTTTTATGCCTTTAATACTAACTTGAATTTTTATTAAAATTAATTAGTCAATTATTTTTTATATTTTATTGTAATGTGGAGACAAGGCTTTTAGTGACAATCATGTATTGCCTTACAATTATATGTAAAAAAATCTAAATATGATATTTGGCCTCAAATCATCTGAGGCCTGGCGCCCCCCCTGCGATCTTTGGCGCCCCCCAGGCTGGGAACCACTGCCCTAGGGGGCTCCGTAGGTAAGTGAGTTTTGGCCGATGATTATGAGTTGAACATGTCAGTGAAACGTTGTGACTGACCTTGAGAACCGAGTGTGCTCGAGGCTGAGCCCGGGTTCGCGCTCGGACCCCGAAGATGGCGTCGGTGACAGGGACGCTGTTCTCTGCACAGATGGCGTAAAGCAGAGCCATGGAGATGCAGAAGAAGGCCATGCAGAGAACTCCACGACGAGCCCGACGCCTCATGCGCCACAGCAGGCTGACTCGGTCCATCGCTGCCCCGGGGATCTGAGGAGGACACTCACTGTGAGTACATCAAACACCTCAGGAATATATTTAAAAATAAAGTAAGAGAGCAACTTAAAGGGGACCTATCATGCAAAATGCACTTTTGTACGTCTTGTATACATGAATATGTGTCCCCGGTGTGTCAGGGAACTCACCAAGTGTCAGAAAACACAACCCTCTCTCTTTTCCTCCATAACCAAATCTCTAAAAACGGGGCTGCAACGGATCTGATACAGACTGATCCAGATTTGAAATATCTCTGACATCAGAAACGGGGTGCTCCGCCTATATGGGCAACTCTCCACCTATCAGGGGAATGAGAGGTTGCGTGGCATGGTAACAACATGGTAACAGCATGGTAACAGCATGGTAACATGACGCTCGTGCCACTCCCCCTTCCTTTGCAGGGGGGCGTGGTCAGCTGCAGCTCATTTGGCACAGAATCAGCCCTTGTGAAGACAGGGCTGGAAAAGAGCAAATGGAGCGAAATGAGGCATGGCTAAAATGCCTGATCTGTTTGGTATTTTGAAAAAACAACTTCACAGACATGTTTTATATAGGTATGGCCCTACAATATATTATTCAAATATAGCATGATTGGTCCACTTTAAGTGTTGAGTTATCTGATCAAATGAGAACTGACATTTACAGTTTTGACAGTTTACTACATTGTTTCCAAATATGTGACTTAAATAAAAAAGAGAAATAAATTGACTAAAACTTGTGTCTTAAGTGTTGAGTCCTTTGATCAAATGAGAACTGACATTTACAGTTTTGACGGTTTAATAACATTTTCTTAAAGGTCCCATGTCATGGCCATTTCTACTGATCATAATTCCATTGTTGAGGTCTACTAAAATAGATTTATATTGTGCAATTTTCCAAAAACTTCCGCCCCATGGGACCTTATTTCGAAACAATTATGTATTGAAGTCAATGGAGAGAGAAAACGTATCTTTCAATCCCGTTTGAATTGTGCCATGAATTACACATATGATGTTTGTCAATCTTAAAAAATCATTTCCAAGTCAAAAAGTCACAGTTTGTCGTAAAACTGTTGAAATATAAGACTATGAAAAATATGCAACTAAAGACTACAAATCCCAGAGCAACTGATGTCATAATTGTTTTCCTCCGCTAAATATAAGAGATAGCTAAGATAAGATAACTTTAACAAGATGCCTGTGTGCTTAGTACCAGTGGCTGGATCAAGTTAGCTACCTAGCTAGTAGCAAGCACGTTAGTTAGCATTACAGCCGGCTTAGCCTTTTTATTAGACTTATGTGGAGTCTATTTTTATATAACATTAGAAAGACTGAGTCTTATTATTACATTATTTGCTTATTGTGCTCATTGTATGTGCTGTGACTTAGGCATAAATGGACCCAATCACCCCCCCCCCCCCCCCCCAGTTTTGATGGGGTGGACAGGAACGGAGGGAAAAGTTACATGAGAAAGTGTTTAGCTTGCAATATTGAAAGTAGCAAGGTGGAGTGCAGAGACTGAGAGAACACAAAGAGGTAGTCAGAACAGCACATCACACCGGCCTTGACTCTGTATGGGAGCCGCGCTCCCCCGCAAAGCAACATTATGGTTTCCCACTATATCTGAAGAGTAGGGAGGGACTTCCACAGGCCGGCCGAATGCTGATTGGAGGATCGTGTTGCCAAGAGACTCTATCTGAGTCTGCGCACCAACCAAAGAGAACCAAGTCTAAACCGTTGTATCTCTTCAGCTAGTCTTGACCAATCAAAAATGTACGGGCAACGCCCTGTGTAATAAAATGTATTGTCGCACGAGGTTCGAGGCTCTTGACGGATTTGGTGGTTACAGATTACAGCTTTGCTGCCTGTGATTCCCAAATACGTGATGAGTTCTTGGCCAAGTGATATATCTTATGCTCTCTTTACAATAAATAGTTCAACTTAGAAGTTGTCTGTCTTTTCTGGAATTCTGAACCCAACACTTAACATGAAGTAACATTAAAGGTGGGGTAGGTAAGTTTCAGAAACCGGCTCGAGTGCACTAACATTTGAAAGTACACAGCCGAAAAGAATCCGCCCCTTCCTTCAGACTTCCTTACAGAGCACCTCCTCCAACACACATGAACGCGCACATGACTTAGATTGGCTATATAGTTCAGGGGAATTGTAAACCATACAAAACAGATAATTACCTGTCCAAGAGAAAAAGAGCGACCACGGCGTCAGATTTCAACTCGGTGTGTATGGGGGTTATTCCCTATCTTTATTCAAGAGCGTGGTATTTAAATTTGAGAGCATACTTTATTGATTTCCTTCACTCAAACCCTGTCATCGCACCAAAGACAAACCAAAGAGTAACCGCCCTTACGGGACGCTGTAATAAGTAAAGCGAACGCACCCGCAAGGACACCTGGCCTTCTATTGGTTGAGGGATTTTGACAGGATTGTTGCACAAAAGTTTCGAGCGCGCACAGAATATATCTGAGTGCAAGCGTACAGTTTGAGCAGAAGCAGAGCAAATCAAAGTGCAAGCAGGCACTCGTTGAGTGCGAGGACAGGGTTTGAGGGAAATAAATACATAAAGTATGCTCTCAAATTTAAATACCACGCTCTTGAATAAAGATAGGGAATAACCCCCATAGGTGTGTTCCATCAGTAGTCGCCATCGTTGAAAAGAAACTCCGATATTGACTCTGGTTTGAATTCTCCTAGTTTCCACTTTGTTTTTGTTCCTAATTTGCTCCGTTACATTATTTCTTTTGCCACCAGTAGACGATGTTGAACCTAACTCTGCCATGGTGAAAGTGGCCGCCTGTTGCTGGCGAGTCATTGAAGTACTGCTGCAATGCACGCCCAATGAGGGCACGAGATACATTTGTGCGTGCACGAGATGGAAGGCTGACAGACAGGGCGGCAATCCAATCCGTTTAGCCAGCCCAGTATGACAGTATTACGGCTTCCACAGATGAACTTTTTTTCGGGATGTTAAGAGCATTCCATGGAATATAACAAAAAGTGTATCTCGAGCCGGTTTCTCAAACTTACCTACCCCACCTTTAAGTAACCCAAAATGTTAAACAGTAAGAGTAGTAGTTATATTTCGTGAACCCTTTGAAGAGTACTGTCCCACCGGTGTGATCATTCTGTAATACACGGTTTAAGCCCGGATGCCCCCGGGGGAGAAATGCTAACGCTATTCCTCCTAGCTTAGCACTTTCTACTTTTGTTGTTATTTTTGTTTTACTTGCTTGTAAGCGCTTTGAGCACCAGGAAAAGCTTTTTATAAATGTAATGTATTATTATTATTACATTAGCATCGGCGATCTTTTCTACTTCATGCTATCTGCACAAATGGTTAACATTGAACATTAAAAAGACCAGGCCGTTCAGGGAGAATCGAAGGCAGGCAGGCAGGCAGGCAGGCAGCTTTGCATGACATTCTTCAGTAATTTTGTCCGACTTGCTCTGGAGGCTCGCCTACATGAGACGTTGAAATCTCGCGGGACAAAGACGCCGGCAGCCTTGAGAGCGAGGTGGCGCAGTTTCTCTCCACGGGCTGCGGAAGCTAAATGCTTGATGGGAAACGACTCGCTGGTATCTCGAGCTGAGCACTCATTGGTGGTTTTTACCCCGTGCTGCTGATGAAACTCTCCAATTGGCTCAGCAAAAATGTGTTGTTGTTTTGTGTCAGTTTTACGTCGCCACTTCCATTCACATTTTTCATCATTGTTCCACAATGTTTATCATCATGAAATTAATATCTATATTTTATACTATACTTGCACTGCTTACCGTTTTCATACTTTATATATATCTTAGCATATTCATACACACTGTTACTGCTCACAGGCTGCTGTGTATATCTAGTAGTGTATTATTACCCCTCACTGTTTATTCATCATTCAATTCATTCTATATTTTATTCTGTAGATTGTGTACATTACTTTTCACTTTACTGCTTGTTGCACTCCTGGTTAGAAGCTAAACTGCATTTCGTTGTCTCAGTACCTGTAATCTGTGCAATAACAATAAAGTTTAATCTAATCTTGAGCAGGAACAAATATATTTACTTAGTACATGTCGTGGCTTCCTTCCTTGTTTTTCCACCAAGCCACTAGACGCCTTAAACAGACAGTTCTAACTCGTTTCTTTCCTTAAATTACTCACAGTTTGAAGTGTTGCTTGGCCTCCGATGGTTTAGAAGATGTTGCGATGTATTTGCTCAAAATAAAATAACAAACTTTTGCACATGCAACAAAGAAAAATAGGCCTTTACAATATTCAAAAGAAATAGACAAAACTCAAATAAAACAACACAACTTAGGTATTCTTTCTTTCTTGATAATGCTTATAACTTAAAGGGTACTTGTACGGTTTGTATGTACGTGTACGGTACGAGTACGAGTATGGTTAAAAACTGTTCCTCGACGGCGTCTCTCAACAGGTTGCCCACCACTGGGGCTTTAGCACAGGCGCCGTGGGAATTGTAGTCCTTTATAGTGCGTTGACTACAGACGTCACAATTAGGTGGCCTTTCTTATACAAATCAAAATATTGGCTCTAATAGTACATATCTGACATTAACGATTATACACATTTGTGCATTCTTTATAAATTCAAACTGGTCAAGACCACTGACGGAAGTAGTTTTGAAAAGTAATAAGTGGTTCTGTCTTTTACATGTAGGATTCAACCCCCCTTGTATTGATTTGTTTTAAAATGAACAGACACTTGAGTCATTCATTTGTAGTGATATAATAAGTGTGGGATTTCTATTGCATCCACTTCATCTGCAACGAAGAACGCCAACGCAATTTCCGCCATTGCAAACCGAGTCAAGCCGACTCCGAGCTGTCCGACCTCATGCGAGCTTTTTGAGACCTCCCCCGGCTGCAATCGGCTATTCTCGTCTACTTTCGAGGCGAGCCGCAACGCGTCTTAAACAAGCCTATTAGCTGCTACTAGAGTGTATGACAGCTTCCGGTTCCGGGGCATTCTGGCTACGCATCACTCATA